TGCCTTTTTTCTAATGTACAATGCTTACAACCACTACACCCACACCTATTTTCAAAGAACTGAAAAAAAATCTCATCATCCCTTCGAATCGCCTCCGCACATGTATAATATAAGACGCACTCGCTTTTGAGAAGAATAAGCATACATCCAAACCTCGACAACCAACTGGAGGCACAAACCACATGTATTCAAACCCAGTTTAACGTAAGTCTCACCTCGGGCTCTTGTTCTTCCTTTTCCCCGCCTTGACTGTGGCGCCTCCTGGTCATCTGCCAGAGGACCTTGGTTGTATATAATCATCACGTACTCATAACTATCAGCAGCATAATAATAGTAATAACAATGAGAATGAGAATGATAAAGACAATGATGATATTGATAATAATATAATGTAGATATTGTTAATAACAGCAACAACAATATTAATTGCAGTAATATCAATAATAATAATTTTACAATAATATTAATGCTAATGATAGTCATAATAATAATAATATAAAATATCAACAACTATAGTAAAACTAGTAATAATAATGATAATAACAATATTAATGATGATAATGATAAACAGTTTATTTTGCAAAGTTATTGTTACGTTACAATATTGGCATTTATGTGTCTAGTAGAATAAGGTGCAGTTAACTCATATCTGGTAATATCAAATTTTGGTTCCCAGATTTTCGCGTTTAAATCTTCGAAGTGTTTCTTAGGCTGACGGAAGTCTGGAGAAAGATTGCACGTGGATATATATGTACATATATGTGTATAGATAGACAAAACCACATGCATTCAAACCAATTCAACGTAAGTCTCACCTCGGGCTTCCCTTGTCCTTCCTTTTCCCCGCCTTGACCGTGGCTGCAGTTCACCTGCCAGAGGACCTTGGTTGTATATAATCATCACGTACTCTTAACTAAAATCATCATCAGCAGCATCATAATAATAGTAATGAGAATGATAAAGACAATGATGATAATGATAACAATAATATAATGTAGATAATGTTAATAACAGCAACAACAATGTTAATTACAGTAATATCAATAATGATAATCTTACAATAATATTAATGCTAATGATACTCATGATAATATTATAAAACAACAGTAGTAATACTAGTAATAATTATAATTATAATAACAATATTAATGATGATAATGATAAACTGTTTATTCTGTAAAGTTATTGTTACGTTACAATATTGGCGTTTGTGTCTAGCAGAGTAAGGTGCAGTTAACACATAATATCTAGTAGTATTAAATTTTGGTTTCCAGATTTTCGCGTTTAAATCTTCTAAGAGTGTTTCTCAGGCTGTCGGAAGTCCGGAGAAAGATTGCATGTGGATATATATGTATATATATGTGTATAGATACACAAAAGCAGACTGACAGATAGACAGGTAGACAGACAGATAGATATGTATGTCTGAATCATATTAGCACACTCAAACTAAATGTGCACAATTTGGACACCGTAACGGTTACATACCATAGAGTTGTCTCCGAAAATAATACCCAGTCCCGAGGTCCCACTGCAAAGAAAGAAAAAAAAAAACGAAAAAAGCATGTTATGTTGATGGTATGCACAGAATCAAGTCCCTTATCTATTTAGCATGTGTAGTCCGTTTTGATCCTTGGTCTCCAACGATATATGCCTTTTAGAATTTTAAGACAAAAAGGAACAACTTTTATATTTTACGTTTACATTTTTTTTATTATAGATTCAGTAACTGCCAAACCTTGTCCATTTCTTCATTATTTATGTAGATTCATGTAAAGAAGTTTTAGTGAAATCTTTTACATATGAGCTATAGAACATTACTGTTAATAATTTGTAGGCCTGTAATGCCTCAGGCACATTACCTTCGTTTCCCCAACATTCAACCTCTGCTTGCTGTCGTTCCCAAGTTCGAGGCAAAAAATCGTAAGATCCTCCATAGCTCACCTGGTTAAATTTCTTATGGAAGTGGAACTGACGTTCAGAGTCTTGAGTCTAGGCAATAGATCGGTTATGTTGAGAGGGAATTTTTTTAGGGCGTTGTGAGAGAGGTTGAGATCCTGCAGAGACGGGTATGTGGCGAGGTCAAGAGAGGTGACGTTGGCGATACTGTTGTTTGAGAGGTCGAGGGAAAGCAGGTGTAGTAGGGAGCCACAGACCTGCACTCCGGGGCTTTCCAACTGCAGAGGATCGGGAAAGATGAGGGTCGTGATTATGCTATGATGATGGCGGTAACAATGATGAAAATGTATATATTAATAGTGATAGTGATGGTGATCATAATCATGATGATTATGACCATGATAATAGCAAGAATAATACTACTAATAATAGTGAAAATTATGATCATGATACTAATACTAATGATAATAATAGTGAAAATTATGATGGCTATGATAATAATGATAATGATGAAAATAATTTTAACTGTGGTAATAAATGAGTATAATAACAGCAACAACAATGATAATGATAATATACTGGTAATAATAATAATGACAATAACAACAGTAACAGTAATGATAATAATACTGAACCAATTATCTTGCATCAGCAACACGATGTCTAAGACTTGTAAAACGGGAATTTTGTATGTCATGGCAGATGTTTTCTAGTCCCAGGGGATCAAAGCTGAGTTGACAAGTTACGCAATTATAAAATTAACTTTAGATACACTCAAATCAGATCCACGAACTCACTAGGGAAGGAGACTGACTAGGATCGTAAATAATGAAAAGTGTAGCCACGGAGATCCAACCCACGACTTCAAGAGCACGCGGTTGCAGGCAAAAGTCACATATAACGGGTCGACACACTATTCAGGACACTGACTTATGCCCAACCGCCTCAGCGCCGTCCCAGGATCACGCAACCGTGAGAAGGTAGCGGTGACATCAAGGCCTACAAATTGCTTTATAGTTTTCCCATGCTGTATCGCCGCAGATGATCAAGGTAAGTGCGGAGGGCACACCTGTTTGAGAGCCAATACACCGATCCATTGTATTTCCACCGTGAAAAGTATCTCTCAATTAAATGTAGTGCAGTGGTGGGCCGAGCTAGAATTAAACTTTCTTCTTGAGAGCGTGTAATAAATGTGATAAGCGGTGGATATATTGAACGAGCATTTTGCCAAAGGCGAGTTAAACAAACGGACAAATACGTTTTTGTATATATTGTTATATAACTCTTTAGTAAAGATAAAGCTGTGTCACTCCTACTTCTGAACACGTGAACGGGCCATGGAGTAAAAGGACGAATATTAAAAATGAAATATATGAATATATAATGTAAACATCTGGCTACCAATTTTGTATTTCTTTTGTCTTTAATAAATTATTAATTAGCAGAGCTAGTTGCATTTCCCACTTACACATTCAATTTCATTCTGATCACAGAATAACCAAAATGTCCTGCCCGCATTCACGTGTCTCTTACCCTCCAAACTGTTTACCATGTGTGCCATTTTTTTTCTTTTCCTTTCTTTTTCCTTTTTTTTTCTTAAATAAGATCCTACGCAAAGGATTATTTCTTTGAAGTTTAATCCCTAACGGTTAGGTTGTTAATTTGTTTCTTTTTCTGTTTAATCCGTTCCTTTCTGACACAGACAGCAAATCTGCCCCTACGGAATGGTGGGGGCAGATTACCCCCAGCACATATGTGCACCAACAATAATATCGCTAGAGAGAGGGAGAGGTAGAGAGAGAGAGAAAAGTAGGGAGATTTGAAGAGCAGGAATTCTGTCTGCTAATAATAATGATAATAAAACACAGCGTACCTTATTTCTAGACATCGTAAGTGTCCCCAGAGGATACAGCAACGGACAGTCGGCAGCGGTTAGTCTCTTAATTTTGTTATCATCTAAGGACACTGTGTGGAGATGCTGAGGATAACACTTGCTATCCTTACTGTAGTAGTCGTATGTATAACAGTCGCATTTCCCTCGTCCTGAGAGCACTGTACAAGAATAGAGATTGGTGAAAATTACACACGTGTCATCCAGCGCCGCCATCCACACGCACATACGTGTCACCCACATGCTATCATCCACACACACATGCACGTTACCTACATACACATAAAAGCGTCAGCCACACACAAGTAACTGAAGCACTCACAAAGCTTAGTCACGAGGTTGCGTTCGACACTGAGGCGCCTGAGGTTGCAGTACGTGGGAAAGGCCACGTTATCTATGTTGGTGATGACGTTGTTGTCCGCCAGGAAGATCTCGGTCTCGGAGGGCACGACGATCGGCAGCTCCACCAGGCCTGGAGGAGGAGGAGGAAGGAAGGTCAAGGGACGCTCACGGACCGCAGGGTTACTGGTCTGACTTTATTCTCTTTCCCTGTACCTTTAATTTCATGCAAGTGTTCAGCTGTAAACGCTATGATTTCTTTCACCGATGAATGGAAAGATATACCCATATTATTTGCAACAAAAATAATTGTACCGCGATCTTTAATATTTTCCATTGCAACTTATGCATCGGAATGATGGATTCCCAGCGGGGATGCCAAGGAAATGGAAGTTTTTGAATTCCTTCGGTCATTCAGAATCAGCTGTTAAGTCAGCTGTACAGGAGGGAGGAACAGCAATGAGTGGGTCCTTGGCAACATTCAGTGTAAAGAGAACTTGCTAAAAACAAACAAGAGGGATATTGACCTTCATTGGTCAAGCATTTTGGAAGCAGCGACATCGGGAAAGACTTTTGTTGAACTACACATACATAGGACACAGTTAACTGAATGGAGAGCTACGGAAGTTGAGTGTGAGCTTCCCATCCGTTAATGATGAATGTATCTTAGTTTCATTTGTAAATGAGGAAGGAAGCCAATAACTTCAATGCATGGGTGTATATATGCGTGCGGATATGTGTATGCATATACATATATATATATATATATGTAATGGTACTTAAATATATGTATTTATGTACGTTCATACGTATGTATGTATGTATGTGCATGTGTGTATATACATATATGTATGCATATATAAATATAGTTATATATTTACATATACACATATAAATGTATATGCACATGTATATATGTATGTATACGCATATATACACGTATATGCATACATACATATATGCGTGTGAATTTAGAGAAGCCCAAGTCCTACAGTGGAATAAATGGCTGATGAACAAATCAATATATATGTATATATATATATGCATATATATAGGGAGATGAAAGAGAGAAAGAGAGGAGATTGAGAGATAGAGAGGGAGAGAGGGAGAGTGAGAGAAAGAGGAAGAAAGGGAGAGAGAACGACCGACCAGATTGTTTTCATCGAAAACCTTTTCCGTGTCGTTCGCTTCCCTCCCTCGCACCCAAATCAGGAAAAGCGAGGAAACACACGCTCACTCCCGCCAGAAAGCGGAGGCAAGCAGGCGTCACCTTTCCCGGTGCAGTTCACCGTCTTCCTCCCGCTGTCGCAGTCGCACTCGGCGGGGCAGTCCTCCCAGCCGCAGCTCCGAAGAACGGCCTCGCTGAAGCAGTCGAGTTCCTCGCGGGCGTCAATGTGCAGCGCCTGCCTCGAGTACTGCCACAGGTGGTAGAGCGAGCAGTTATGGCACGCCTCGTTCCAGCGGTTTTCTGCGGCGGGAGTCGGGACTGGCATGACCATGGGCGGGAATCGATTATAGACACGCATGGGCACGGCCGGGAAATAGATGGCCCGTCCCTCTTCTTGTCACGTACAAGAAGAAATAGACTATGATAATAAAAGAGATATATGCATGTGTTTTACACACATATATAAAAATAGACTGAATATGTGTATATATGTATAAATATACATACATATATATATATATATATATATATATATATATATATATATATATATGTATATATATACATATACATACATATACATACACATATATACACACATATATATACGTAAATATACTCACACGCACATACATATATATAATATACACATTATATATGTAGGTGTTTGTATGTATGCATGTAGGTATATATAAACATATATAATCTCATATGTGTGTACATGTATATATACATAAATGTGTATATTTATATATTTATATATATCTGTATGCGTGTGTGTAATGATATATACACATATATACACATATGTATATGCATGTGTATATATATTCCTATATATGTATGCTATTAGTGAATTAATTCCTACCTTTGATATTAACAAAGGAATCATTTTTGAGGGACTCCACCAGCCTCCTTGGCAGCCACTTCAGAGAGTTGTTGGACACGTCCAAAGTCCTCAGGCGCCCCTGGGAGGAGGGCGTGGGACACGGCCCCTCCACGCACGCCGTCAGCACGGACACCTCGTCCAGCTTACAGCTCGAGATGTTGAGGTGCGTCAGCCTCAAGGTTAAGTCTGGGGAGCGGGGAAGCGGAGATGGGTGTTTGTGTGTGCATGGATACAAACGCACATACGTGAACACATGCAAATGGACAAATATATACAGTACATATTGCCATATTAGCTAGAGAGATGGAACATGGCTCTGGGTATTCATTTGATTTCTGTTAGCATGTACTTACATACATACACACACACACACATATATATGTGTGTGTGTGCGCGCGCGCGTGTGTGAATGTGTTACATATGTATACACATATATACATGTAAATGTATATGTATTGTATATACACATATACAATACATCTATTTACATATATAATGCATATACATAAGTACATATCTGGTGCACACATCAACACACACAGAATATATATGTGTATACATATATATACATATGTAAATATACATGTGCATGTACATGTATATATATTCACAAGTATACGCGCGCACATACACACATAAATATCTATACATTGTGTGTGTATATATATATAAACATACATGTTTACATATGTGTATACATGTATAAATATACATATACAAGTATATATATACATATATATATACACACAAATGTGCGTGTGTGTACTGTATATATTCACGCATTTAAATTCAAATACAGTACGTTTTTACCTAACAGGGGCATTTCTTCAAAGAGCAACTTACTTCCAGGTAGTGTTATTTTCCCAAATTCATTATTCGATAAATCGAGGTGTTGCAGTTCCTGTGAAAGAGCAGATAATATTCACCACAACAGACCCCAAGGAAAGTAAGGCACCACAAGCAATACATATATGTATAATACTTGGTCTGTAAACCTACTCCTACTTTACAAAGTGAAAGATATAGCAATTAAACCAGTAAATTAGCAGACGTGACAACTAAATGCATTGAAATTAAGTATAAATCAGAAGAAAAGCAGGTGGGGCACAATACACGAGGTTTCCTTACCGATGAAAATACTGATATGTATTTTTGAAAACATGACAAGCTTACCGGGTTCTTGTCGAAGACTTTCTCAGGGAGGAAGCGATGGCCAGAAGAGGAGATGTCAAGGTGCTGGAGAGCAGGAAGATGCGACAACAATAACGTCAGTGCTGGAAAGATGGACTGCGGATAGTAGCCGGACTATTTTATGTTCACACACTTTCTGCCTATAGATTTTATTTCCATTATTCTTTGGGGACAAACTGATTGGTAAGATATGCCAGTTCGTTACTGATGAATAATGAAAGAGTAAATATAGAAAAAAAAAACAAGAAAAGAGTAAACAAAACATCTTTTTAACACAATCTATAAGCTTGTTGTTTGTGCTTTATCGAACTAACCCTTTTCAGTCACAGGCGTTTCTCTGAGAATGAGTACCGTCAGCGAGGACAGGACGCTCCACTGCATGTGTTCCAGCTTAAAGAAGCGGTTGTTCCTCAGGTCCAGCTGGCTTAAGGATGACAACGACGACTGGGGAAAAGGTCAGTCAGTGAACACATTATAAGACGGCTAAATTCCAAATTTCTAAGTTCCGAATGCTAAGATCAGGTTTTCCCTTTTGTCCCAGCTGGTCAGAGTATGTAGGTGAGGACTAGTGAGTGAAAATTAGTCGCTAAACTGATTAATATGATCAAAACCCTTCTTGACAGTTTCGCAACAGTATCACAAAATCAAATTGCATAATAGACTACTAGTATATTGTTAAAACGTTCACTTCTTTTAGTATAATATTTTCTCTGTGAACTCCAGACTCTTTTACTTCATTCTGAGTATCACTCAAAATAACATTTTATCTACTACAGCAAGATCTGTTGTAAATGATCCTACTGATTAGAAATAAAAATCACATAAATACCTGGTTTTCCATTTCAATAGATATTTGTGTTACGTTCGCGTTCTGAAGAAAAAGCGAGATGATGAAGATGTTGGGAGGAGGCTGCAGTCTTAGCTGTCCGTCCACCTTCTCCACCGTGATTTTGACGCGTATTCTTTGATTCTGTCGGCACGCATTCAAGAATAAGAACCATCGTGCAGTTATAATCGTCGACATAAAATTAACACTTCGCA